TTAGTACATAGGTAGGGTGCAATACCAGGCCAAATTGCAAAAAAATTTACCGAAATCTCCAAATTTAAAATCATATTTTTTTGCTCCCAAGGCACATAGGAAACATAATTTAACAATGAATTTTGCTGAAAAATTGCCCCTTTGCGTCTAATTTCGCTTTGAAATGTGTGCGTTTACTGCTCTTGTATGAGATAAGAGTTCGAAAACATTCGAACTACTGAAAATGTAATGAAATCGACAACTTGACCTTGCCCTTGGCCTTAAGTCCTTGTACTGCCTCAGCACTGAAATGTTTTTATAACAACGATAATTTACCAACTTTCTTGGATATTTTCCTTGTTTAACTAGTAGAACCGAACATACAAGTGCATTAGAAGACTAAGCGAGAGTTTTGTGTAGAAATGCTCTGTTTACGGGAAGTTATTCTGCATTCGCAAGCGTCAACAAAAGCCGGCATTTTCACAGTTTGATTATCATGTCGATAGATAAAAGCTTTAAAAATTCAATTGAAAACATTTTAAACCACCCGTATTTCTATAGAATATATGTTAGTGGTATTAACATTGAACGTCTTTCTGTTTGAACCCAAATTCGTACTTGTTTTGCTTTTGACAAGGCAGTCAAGCTTGCGACGATTGGCAGGCATGACTGCAGAATTAGCGTGTCAAATGTCTTCTTGTTTGTGTCAAGTTTACAATATTCTATTGCTGTTCAAACACAAACGAGATATTCTATACACTGGAAACGTAGAGTACATTTTACTTTGTCTCGAGCAAAAAATTATAAAGATTAAACAGGCATTCAAAAATATACAACAACCACGAACATCTCGTTATTTCTTCGGGGAAATCTTCAAGTTTCAATGGAAATCTGGCGCATGCGCAACAGCTGGGAAATTTGTTGCGCATGCGCCAGATTTCCATTGAAACTTGAAGATTTCCCCGAAGAAATATTACGAGATGTTCGTGATTGTTGTATATTTTTGAATGCCTGTTTAATCTTTATACTTTTTTGCTTGAGACAAAGACAAAGTAAAATGTACTCTACGTTTCCAGTGTATAGAATATCTCGTTTGAACAGCAATAGAATATTATAATCTTGACACAAACAAGAAGACACTGTGACACGCTAAATCTGTAGTCAAGCCTGACGGCTAAGGTATAAAAGCCAATCGTCGCGAGCTTGACAGCCTTGTCAAACGCAAAACAAGTACAAATTTGGGTTCAAACAGAAAGAAGTTCAATGTTAATACAACTAACATATATTCTATACAAATACGGGTAGTTTAAAATCTGTGAACTTGATGCGGCAGTTTTGTTGACGCTTGCGAATGCAAAATAACTTCCCGTAAACAGAGCATTTCTACACAAAACTCTCGCTTAGTCTTCTGATGCACTTGTACGTTCGGTTCTACTAGTTAAACAAGGAAAATATTCAAGAAACACTGGTAAATTATCGTTGTCAAAAACATTTCAGTCGGAGGCAGTACAAGGTCTCAAGGGCAAGGTCAAGTTGTCGATTTCATTACATTTTTACAGTACTTCGAATGTTTTCGAACTCTTGTTCCATACAAGAGCAGTAAACGCACGCATTTCAAAGCGAAATTAGACGCAAAGGGGCAATTTTTCAACAAAATTCATTGTTAAATTATGTTTCCTATGTGCCTTGGGAGCAAAACAATATGATTTTAAATTTGGAGGAATCGGTAAATTTTTTTTCAATTTGGCCTGGTATTGCACCCTACCTATGTAATGACTGTGCTGTAAAAGTAATCAAATATACTATTTTGAATTTCCCTTCATTGAAAGGATCTACTATTGTGGACTAAACTAAATTTTAATTAGCATACAAGACTGCAAACAACAGCCAAGAATTAGCTGGGTAGTTTGCAAACTTTGAAAATAATTGGACCTCAAACTTTGATCCCCAAAAGTAAACAAATGGCCAATACTGCGAACATAATCCAAGTTTTGACCACTAGGGGCAATTTTTAGATGTAAAAAAACTTGTTTGAATTACATATCAAACAAAGGCAAAACAAAATTTGGTATTAATTTTTTGGAGGAAACGTCAAGGTTTTTTGCTATCTGCGCAAGCTTCCACACCCCCTCCCCCCGGACCTTCTCTATCAGAAAACAGTTTTCTGCAGAAACTATGCTTTTTATCGGGAAAATTTTTACTTATCTCAAAAAAATACTTTAGAAACACGGAAACCTTAAATATTTAAATAATTTTCATACCTTTTTGGGATTGCAAAAAGCAAAATTTGATTCATTATCACACTTTTTAAAATATATGTGACAAAGTTGCTTCGAAATCACTATCACGCAGTAGCATGTTTATTTACCCCAGTGGCGTAACTACTATGGGCTCAGACCGGGTGAACCCGGGGGCCCCCAACCCAAATGGGGGCCCCCAGGCTTAGGCGATAGGGCAAAACATTGGCCAGGGCCTCTGATATGTTACAATGTCGTTTTATGAAAATCAGAATTCTGTAAAATCTCTCCCCAAAGTCCAGGAAATGGCATTTCAGAGAGTCTAGATTAAAACATTTTCCGGATGACCATGCCCTGGACCCTCTAGAAAACTCGTGCATATACGGCGCTCGACTCGTGCCTTTGGCACTTCTACTAGAGGGGCCTTCGAAAATTTTGAACCGGGGGCCCCTTGATATAACGTTACGCCACTGATTTACCCTCATCCTTTGACTGAATAAAGTTTATCTTTTTGAAAAGCTATTTGTTTTATAGCTCTTGGTTAGCAGTTTACGTTTATGTCGATTTTGCCATCCATGAGGGCAACAAGTTATGGTAATCCGCGAATGAAAACTGATATTCGAAGAGCACAAAAGCCAACTCCTAGCTATGTAACTTTATCGCCTGAATTTTGAATCAATCCACAATTAAATTTCTGGTAATGTAGATACTTTCCATACTAGAGATGTTAGTGAAGTTTTTCCAACAATTTAATTTCCTTGATCGCCGTCTTAAAAATGCAAAATCATCAGTTGAAATTTCACTCGTGTTGTTTTTTCAAATTTTCGAATTTTTGTAAAATATCGCGTGCGCCAGCAATTTCTCTGCACAGCGACAACAAATTTCCCAGCTGTTCTTTTTGGCATGTACTAAAAGGCGAAACGTCGAAACGAAACGACCGAAACGAAACGGCCGAAACCATCGAAACCACCGGAACGACCGAAACGAAACGACCGAAACGAAACAACCGAAACGAAACGACCGAAACGAAACAACCGAAACGAAACGACCGAAACGAAACGGCCGAAAATGTAAATTACAGGAAAATTGAAAAATGCGGATACGGACGGACGGACGGGGGACAGGCGGATGGACGGGGGAGACAGGCCGATGGACGGGGAAGAGGCGGATGGACGGGAGGGACAGGTGGATGGACGAGGGAAGAGGCGGATGGACGGGGGGGCAGGCGGATGGACGGGGGAACAGGACGGCTTCATTTGACACGAAACTCAATTTTAAAATCAAATCCGCGTTTTGTTGAAAGGGATATATTAGGATATATTATAAAAGACTATTATTAATCTTAATAAATTGTCCGCGAAAAGTTGATAAAATGCATGTGGAAATGCGGGGTTTTTCGAACCTTCGTAACGCTTGATATAAGGATAAAACGCGGATATGCTGCAACTTTCATGCTTAATATTCTCAGTCATTTGGGTATGTAGTAATCTAATTTTATGCAATGTAATGTGCTGTTTTTTCAAGCGCTTTTCAATGCAGTTATCGGTTTAAATATAACTCAAATTCCCGTTGAGATATGACAATTGCCGTACGGACTACTTTTACGCAAACGCAAATTACGACTGCAAATTTCATCAGCCCATTACATTAGCATAAAATTACATTACTACATGCCCGGATAACAGAGAAAATTAAGCATGAAAGTGGCAATTGTAGCTAATTTTCGTTTGCGTAAAAGTAGGCCGTACGGCAATTGTCATATCTCTTAACTAACGGGAATTTTAGGTATATTTAAACCGGTAACTGCATTGAAAAGCCCTTGAAAATATAACACATTACATTGCATAAAATTAGATTGCTACATACCCAGATGACTGAGAAAATTAAGCATGAAAGTTGCAGCATATCCGCGTTTTATCCTTATATCAAGCGTTACGAAGGTTCGAAAAACCTCGCATTTCCACATGTATTTTATCAACTTTTCGCGGAAAATTTACTACGATTAATAATAGTCTTTTATAATATATCCTAATATATCCCTTTCAACAAAACGTGGATTTGATTTTAAAATTGAGTTTCGTGTCAAATGAAGCCGTCCCCCCGTCCATCCGCCTGTCCCCCCCGTCCAGCCGCCTCTTCCCCCGTCGATCCATCTGCCCCCCCCGTCCATCCGCCTCTTCCCCCGTCCATCCGCCTGTCTTCCCCGTCCATCCGCCTGTCCCCCCCCCGTCCGTCCGTCCGTCCGTCCGTATCCGCATTTTTCAATTTTCCTGTAATTTACATTTTCGGTCGTTTCGTTTTCGTTTCGGTCGTTTCGTTTCGGTCGTTTCGGTGGTTTCGATGGTTTCGGCCGTTTCGTTTCGGTCGTTTCGTTTCGACGTTTCGCCTTTTAGTACATGCCGTTCTTTTTCGGTCAAAATTTCCTTGAAAAATGAAATTTCCTTGAAAGTGGAAACACTGTGTACGTAGCCGGTCGGGGCGGGCAACAATTTTTCACTTATTGCCCGAGCGGGATACATTGTATTTATCTAAAGCCACGTGACTACAAATCAGCCAATCACGTTTGGTGTTCACACTAGCTATATAACAACATTACTTATTAGAGGAGGATAGCAATGGTCACGTGTGTGGGGGTGTTCTCCCCAGAAAATTTTTGAAATTTGAAGTACGGAAATGCTATTTCCTGCATTCTGAGCATCCAAATTTGCTCTAAAATTTATGCTAACTATACTTGTATTTGAAATAAAAGAAGGAAAAAATGCACCAAAAGTAAAAAAGAATATTAACCGTAATTTATCATTACTTATTAGAGGGATAATCCCCAGAAAATTTTTGAAATTTGAAACCCGGAAATGCTATTTCCTGCATTCTGAGCGTCCAAAAAATAAAAAATTATTAACAATAATTTATCATTACTTAGTGGTAGAAAAACGTAACAATTTAAATCGATTTTGTTAAACAAGCACAAAGGATAAAGCCTAAAACTTACTTTCCGTTTATCTATTTGTTAATCTTCGCTGGTTTGTTTGTATAATTTTAGGAAGAAGGGACTTTTCTTTGTCCTTTCGTCGACCGTTGCGAAGTTTCTGGCCGATAAACTTTTACTATATAAGAAAAATGACGGTTACGGTTTCCCCGAAGAAAATACGGGCGATTAACGGCGAAGGAGACAGAAATAGAACGGTTTGCGGAGCGACCAACCTCCTATAATAGACCCCTACTGATTAACCTGTTCTTCGTCGAGGTCCAGTGTAAGAAGACACTAAATTAGATTACTATCTTCATTTAATAGTATACACTCATTGTATAAATTTCAATTTCGCCGCGAAAGTCTTGTATATGCATGACTGCCAGGGCCGCCGAGAGGGGGGCGGGGGGGGGGGGGCAAGTTGCCCCCGGCCCCCACCTTAATAGGGCCCCAACTTGAGAGTGAGAGTCTAAAATTGAGCAGGTTCTTTAAATTGGCCATGGTCAGAGAATTTTTGAAATTGAGGGCCCCTTACAGAACCTCCACATGCAGTCTAGCTAAGGTCTAGTTGGGTCTAGCTTAAAAATAATGATGTCATGGGGCCCCCAGCGAAGATTTGCCCCGGACCCCGCGAATTCTCTCGGCGGCCCTGATGATTGCATGCCGGAAACATATTTGTTTGGTAGGCTATATTTTGTGGAAACATCACGTTTATTTTGTATTACTAGCTTTCGATATTTATGCCTGCATGGATCTTCACCCGATGTATTAAATTATTATAGCACCAACGGACTTGGGTCGGAAAGCTTCGCCAAAGCCGAGACAAAGAAATGAACGTGTCCACAAAACAAATTAAACAATTATATTATATTTATTTTTACCATGCAAACCCACAAGGTTAAGGATCTTATTGTGCTTTATGACAATGTTATCGAGATTACGAAATATCCGCTTTAAAAAGCACAATACATTAATTATTAAAAAAAAACACAAAATGCTTGAAATTACGGAAATCTTTAAATCTTTAAATCTTAGTTAAACAACGATGAATTATACATGTGTAATACATACTGTATAGATGTATAATGTAAGATGTATAATGGGAAATTGAACGACTGAAAGACGTGGCAAACCTAAATATATTTTATTGCGACGTTTGATATTCACATATTAACTGTGATCCTGATAACAAAGTATACAAAAGCTGCGCACAGTGTGGGCCGAGTATTTCTAGAGCGCCCTGAGTGTCTGTGAAGTGTGAAGTGGGCCTACGTTTCAGTCGTTCAATTTCCCATTATACACCATACATTATACATGTATACAGTATGTAGACACATGTATAATTCATCGTTTCAAAGCGAAGTCCATTTTTTGTTAGTATATATAGCCAATTACAAAGCGATTGTACTACAATTCCAACCGAGTACATTATTAGGGAAGAAGACATTTATTATAAATTATCTTCAATATCATCCTCGAAAGCGGCTGGTCCAGATGAAATACCGAATTGGGTCCTAAAAGATTATGCGCCCCTGCTGTCTTCCCCTGTTACTTCAATCTTCAACGCCTCCCTTCAACAGGCGTCTGTTCCCGCGGTATGGAAAAAAGTACCTAAAAATAAGGTGCTGAGGGACATTAATAAAGACTTGCGTCCCATCTCGCTTACTGCCACTTTGTCAAAAACGTGTGAACGTTTTGTCGCAGACTGGCTGATGGAGTTGATTGGTGAGAAGATCGATAAACGGCAATTTGGATCTCTAAAAAACTCTTCAACAACACATGCATTATTGAGCCTTCTCCATCACTTATTAAACGAAACTGATGTGCCGAAAAACGCTGCGAGAATTTTTTTATTAGACTTCTCCAAAGCTTTTGACCATATCGATCATAACATCCTCCTCAGTAAATTATCTGATATGGACGTTCCATCATTAATAACAAACTGGATAAGACGTTTTCTTACTCAACGAAGCCAACGGGTCAGAATGCCCCATTGTGTGTCAGAATGGCAAATCCTCAACGGTGGAGTACCCCAGGGAACTGTTTTAGGCCCAATCCTCTTCCTAATCATGATAAACGACCTCCTCGCTGATTGGAAAGACCGATGGAAATACGTTGACGACACCACCACTACCGAAACCATTGGCCCAGATTGTAACAGCAACCTTCAAGAACTGGTTAATTACATCAATAATTTGACTACGAGTAATAATATGAAATTAAACATTGGAAAATGCAAAGAACTGGTTATTGATTTTGCAAAAAAGAAGCATTGCTTTCCCCTTTTAACAGTCGATAAAGTTAATATTGAACGAGAGAAATCTGCCCGGATCCTTGGCCTCACAGTCCAAGATAACATGAAGTGGAATGAACATATAAATAACATAGTTAAAAAAGCTAGCAAGAGGCTCTATATGCTAAGACTGCTAAAAAGGTCCAACGCGTGTATTGACACGTTAATTACTGTATATACTACCATTATTAGGCCTGTTTTAGAGTACGCATGCCAGGTCTGGCATTACAATATCCAACAATATTTATGTGACGATATTGAAAAAATACAAAAACGCGCGGTGAGAATAATCCTCCCATCGCAAAAGTACGACGAAGCGCTGATCACGACTAACATCACGTCACTGAGAGATCGACGAGAAAAATTATGCGAACATTTCTTTGAGAAGAATATTGACAATGAAAATCTCAAAGATCTTTTACCACAAACAGTTTTATCTGGATATGATCTAAGACCGATATGTAAATATCATAATTATGTTTGCAGAACCGAACGTTTTAAGAATTCGTTTTCCCTAATTAATATAAGCCCAGTAATCGCTGCTTAATACATGTTTATTTCTTTTTTATGACTGATTTTTTTATGTCTGACTTGTTTATTACTAACACAAAATATCGTCCATGTATAAGCACCCCCATATATAAGCCCCCCCCCCCTTGTATAAATCGCTTACGAAAGTATATAAGCTCAGGGCTTATAGTCGGAGGTTTACAGTATTTATAGTTAACCCAGGCTGAAATGTCAGCCCCAGCTGAAATTATCACAAAATACAGTAGAGTGTAGCAAAATAGGAGAATAATATCTATTATGAGAATAAGTCTGTTACATTTCTTTGAAGCATTAAGATGCTGATTAGTTGACTATTTGACTTTTGCGAGACTGTGGTTACATGTATAGTATTTTTAAAGATGAAACAAATACTCAAAATAAAGCCATTTAAACAGTTGTTTTTTTAGCCCGGGCTGGAATTATTTGTGATTACATGCTGCCGGGCTGAAATTTCAGCCTGGGCAGCTCAAACGTGGCTGAATAATCGTGTAATAACCACTTGCTATGTTTTAATAGGATTTTATCCTTGGGCCAGGCTGAAACTTAGCCCTGGTTGAAAACTCTCCATGTAATCAGCCCCATAGGGGCCACGTCCATATTCATGTTGCCACCAATAACGTCAAATCGGAAGTCAAAATACGACTGAATATCGATCAACATTATCTGGAGTGGGTGGGTGCCATGGATGAAGTGATAACATTGATTCAATGTTATTTGTGGCAACATGAATATTGTGACTTGGCCCGTAAGAGCTGTTAAATTCCCAAGAGCAGAAAATTGTGCACTTTACAAAGATATTTTAATTTCTTAATTAGTCAATATTCATAATATACTGTATGCAGTGTGCACACTGTCAATATTTTTGCATTCAGCTTAGTACTACACACATAAAAATTGAGAAAATCAACAACTTGTTCCAGGTTGACATCAACAGGCATGAACAAGGTTGTGCGGCCCACTATGAACAGTATTGTCAACATGTTGTTACAGCATTGTTCAACTGTAACAACTTGGAACAACATGGTTGACAACTTGTTCATAGTTGGCCGCACAACATTGTTCACGCCTGTCGATATCAACTTGGAGCAACCTGTGCGTTTTTAGCCATGGTAGCAGTATTTGTATTTTTAGCCGTGCGTTTCTAACAATACGGTACATTATTTCAATAGTTTTGGGTTTTTTTCAAGACAGGTGCTCTGAGTTGAGCTCTACATGGTGTCCCCCATGTAGAGCTCAACTCACAGCACCTGTCTTTATTGCTATATATAAGATATATTTACATATTTTTCCTCTGAAAATGTTTCATGGCATTGATAACATGGCATTCTTCCAAAATGTACCTGTGCTTGGACAAAGGTTTGAAATGAAATATGTACCAGATATATCATGTCCGGACCAAGCATTGAGATAAACTTACTTTCCAGTATATTGGCAGATACCGGATTTGTCCTTTCAACTTTGCGATCAAGGCTTTGGCAATGCCATGTTTAGAGTGAAGTTCTTTCCTATGATTTCAAGTATCTTTTCAAATCAAAGTATTATAAATACCCTCATTTTCTATCCGCCCCATGTGTCTAGTTAACCCATCAAGTCGCATTGTGCCCTGATGCACCCTATTTTAATGATTATGCTACTCTGTCTAACGCAAGATTATTTCACTATGTCTAATAGACTAATACCAGATTGATTACAGTGATTACAGTTTTTGAAGAAAGAATTGTTTAGTATCCGTACATGGATTAAACCATTAACCTATATTAAGATACTTAATCTATATAAAACCTTAATCTATATGTGTATTATAGAATTAGAACTCAACTATATATGTGTATTTTAATCTGTATAGAAATTTATTCTATGTTTGATCTTTTTGTAGAGTTACAAAACCGTTGTATCATGGCAGCTTTGACGTATGTCCTTGAGGAGAAGAAGCATACCTCAGGAGAACATTCCTTTAATTAAAGTTGTTCTTGTAAGTGAATTTTGTATATTTTATAACATCTAGATAGAATGTTTGTGATGTTACTCTGAGTGTGAATCCACTCCGGGCAAGCTGAAAAGTTAGCTTGGCCACGGTGGGAATTGAACCTGCGATCTTTGGGATACTAGTCCAATGCTCTGCCAAATAAGCTACATGGTCAAGTCGGTTCGAGTTGATGATATTTCGGAACTGAGTCTAGTTCCTTCTATATCAGTGTATTCTATATGATTATTTTTTATGTGTGTTGGTGTTATGTACTCAGGTGATGTACTCAGTATGACAAAAAATAATCAGACATATAGAATACACTGATATAGAAGGAACTAGACTCAGTTCCGAAATATCATCAACTCGAACCGACTTGGCACATAGCTCAGTTGGCAGAGCATTGGACTAGTATCCCAAAGGTCTCGGGTTCGATTCCCACCGTGGCCAAGCTAACTTTTCAGCTTGCTCGGTGTGGATTCACACTCAGAGTAACATCACAAACATCATATTCACTGAGTACATAACCCCAACACACAAAAAAAATAATCTAGATAGAAATTATGAAGTGATGTATATTTTTGTAGTGTAACTACAGGAGAAGAAGTACAATATTTAGACAAAAGTGTAAGTTGTGCATGAAATGCTTATTTCACTCAGTTATATATTTCCTTGTTGCAGGATGATTCTGAAATTGCTCCCAAAATATCAGGATGCTCAACCCCTCGTCTATTGGCCACTGGACCTCTGGAAGAGATAAGTTCGATTTCATTGATTGCAGAGGGAATGGTTGTAAAAAATTCAGATACGATCCGTGCAATATTACCAACGCAGTGGCACGTTTGCTTGCAGGGTACTACGTTTTAACATGCAGTACCCAAAAGGGGCCAACAGGTCATAGTAAGAACATTTACATGTTTTAGTAATTTAGAACATGTTCTTTTGGCCAATAATTGCCATACCGGTACTTTACCAATTGACGTGGAGAACTTCCTAAGCTAAAGGATTTTATGAACACATTAAATGGAACAATTTATGCTAATGAATTTATGATAATATTGTATCACTAATTTAATGCATGTATTGTACATGCAGGATATATTGTCCCGAGGAGAGTTATGACCCTCACAATCATGGGCTATTTCTGTGAATGTTTCTATATAGTATAACTCTAAACTATATATAGCTTACAAGCTTACAATTATATATATAGCTTACAAGCTTACAATTGTGTGAGATAACCATTGTTTCTTCTATATATGAAGAGCTTTTTACTTTCACAATATAATATGATGACCGCATGACATCAAACTCTGCTCCACTTCCACTTTACTGTTTTGCAATTGTCGCACACTGGACCTCAATTATCTCATAGATTATTTTAATTATATATTGTATATAAGACTTATCCATTCCTTAAGAAAAATATATGATTTTTATCAAAGTACTGAAATTGTTTTAATATTTACTAATTTGACTTTGAGTCAAATATTGATTTTAACCTATTTGATTTTAACCTATTTGATTTTAACCTATTTTTTTTAGGTTAGATCAACCGCATGTAACCTATTTTAAAGGGCTGGTTTAGACTCATGGCCTTTACCATTATTTATGGGTTATTTCAACCATAAAGAATAGGTTATATTTGTATTAACCAAAACTTATAGGTTAAATTGACCAAATATTATTGGTTAAAATGACCAAATATTTATAGGTAAAAACAAGCTATATTTATTTGGCAAAAACAACCTATATTTCTGAGTAGATTTAACTGTTTAAATTTAGGTTGTTTTAACCTAAAAATAAATGTTATAATAACATATTTTAAATAGGTACAATTAACTATATAACAGGTTAAAATAACCCAGTAGAAATGGTTTGTTTTAACCTATTTAGTTTTAGTTATTTCTACCTATTTAAATAACCTATTTTAAACCGGTTGTCCTAGACCAACTGAAATAACCTATTTTTTTTGGTTATTTTAACCTATCAGTTTTTACAGTGTGTTGCCCATCGTAATATAATATTACTACATAAGCTTGATAGATGTAAGATAACGAGTTTCACAATCCCATTTTAAATACTATGGCTTTTGACAGCCTGGTTTTGCATCATATGTGTTTTTCAGTAAAAGCCCCATTTTCCCACTTCTCCAACGTGTAATACGCGAAAAAACTTTGTTAATAATAACAAAAATTTGTAATAGTAAACAGTGTATTTTATTATAAAGGATTTTCGTTTTTCTACTGCTCCGTACTTCGTGTGCTCCGTGCTCCGTGTGCTCCGTACTCCGTTTGCTCCGTGTGCTCCGTGCTCCGTGTGCTCCGTGCTCCGTGTGCTCCGTGCTCCGTGTTTTACTAATAGCCATTTGTGAACAGTTTATACCTCTATAAAGATTTTCGTAAATTTTTTATAATCAGCATTTTTAAAAATCTGTTTCCACGTCTTTCTCCATATATGGAACAAACTTCCGTATATGGAGTTGTTTACGACAAAAAAAAGAGAACGCGAAAAAGTCAGCGTTCTAATTTTTTAACCGTAATGTCATATGCAGCTGTACGGCTTTTCTTTTACTAGAGTTTTACCTAAATTATATATAGAATAATAGTATAATACACGTCAATTTTTAAACCTTACACCGAATTGTATGTTTAGTTAAGGGGTGGGGGGTGAATAGGTTTTCGGATCGTCTACAGTATAATATTGTGAATGATTCCAAATATTCAAAACGGATTGAATTCAAAGCAGTAATTATGTACTGTATAACGGTTTAAACGTAGGCCGTACAGCACACTGTCACTGCCACTGAGCCGAAGGATAAACCGAAAATTCATTTCTCTCCATCACAAGCTTTAATGTTCAGTCGATCCGCTACATTGAAAGATGAGTACTTGGCTATTTTTTGTCAGGGGTAACGAAATATATCGGCTGTTCTCTACAGTAAGTGTTTCTTTATGCGTTGGCCATCGGAATATAATATAACTACATAAGCTTGATAGATGTAAGATAACGAGTTTCACAATCCTATTTTAAATACTATGGCTTTTAGCAGTTTTGCAACATATGTGTTTTTCAGTAAAAGCCCCATTTTCCTACTTCCCCAACGTGTACATTCGCGAAAAATCTTTATTAATAATAACAAAAAATTGTAATAGTAAACGGTGTATTTTATTATAAAGGATTTTCGTTTTTCTACTGCTCCGTACTTCGTGTGCTCCGTGCTCCGTGTGCTCCGTGCTCCGTGTGCTCCGTGCTCCGTGCTCCGTGTTTTACTAATGGCCATTGTTTTACATTCTATTTTACCAAAGTTCTCAGCCATTTCCTGAACAAATTAATGCTAAACAGAAACAATGTTTTTAATTCTAAGTCTGGTGAAAAGTCAAAGTTATCCCATCATAGGGTATTTGTGTTTATATTCTACAAGAAGAATTCGAGGAAAACAATTTTGTAATAAAACAATAAAGTCACACAGGAAGCCATTTTGAGAGCGTGGGTGTACAAGAAACACTGCAACACTAAAACAGCAACGTACAACCGGCTGAAAACAGTTTAATTTCATGCTGAATTTTATAATGAAACTGATGTTTGGATATTTTGTTTTATTCATTAAAAATTTATACTAAAACAAGGCTCAGTGATTACGGTGAAAATTCACCTCGACATCGTCTCGGTGAATGTTCACCGGTAAACACTTCGTCTTTGGCGAATAATTGTTCCCGAGCCAACGGCGCGAAGCGCCGTTACGTGCGTAATCCCGGGACGAGGGTACTAATTCCGTCCGGCTGTTTACATCCGGGAAAAGGAACGCACTAGCGAAGTCTAAAGTTCGTCAAATATCGCGGGCGCATGGTGTACGGGTGGCCATCTCACTGATATCAAAATATGACTGTTTGCCAGGAGTGAAATGGAAAATCGTTTCTCATAACAAATTGTAAAACATTTTTTCAATTTTTAAACGTAAACATTGATAAGAATTGATTTAGCATGAGAAATCCTAAAGTATAGGTCAAATTTGTTTCAATTGTTTATATATGACTTTGTATTCAATATTTTAGACTTTGTCTTGTATAAATCTTTCCTATGCATTGTATGCGAAAGTTTCTATAATTAGTTATAAATTTACGTTTGTAGACTGTTCATGATAAAGAGGAAAGCAAATTATTTTCATTAGCGTCCTGTACGAATTAAGTTTATTTCATTTCAAAGCGCGAGTAATAAGTTGAGGCTCAAGTTGAAGAATTTAATATCGCCAAAGAGCAGTTGATTTCAATTCACATTTAAAAAGGTTTTACGTAGAGTTTCGTTTTGAATTTCCCCTTAAAATAAAGCCCATGGAAAACAAAATAATATACCTACTTTATATGTTTAATAATTGATAGCTCTGTATTTAAAAGTGTTCAGGTTTCATCTATTGTTTGCAGGTTTATACAAAAAATTTAAAAAAAACCCAATTATTGTGTTGCCATGAGTAACATGACGTGGGAACGCGAGCCTACGTTCAGCGTTGGCGTAATTACGCATACTTCATGTTGAAACAATGTTTGGAGAATGTAGGTGAGGGGTTGTTGCATGCATGTATTTCTAGTTTATTACTACATGGTACTGATTAACCAGTCTGCCATTCAGCTGACTAAAACGTTAAACAGCCATCTAAAAATTTGGATTATCACTTGAAAATTGTCAAAGACCATGCCTTTACAACGTCAAAAGAGATTAGACACATCCATGAAATAATAACCTAATGTTAACGCCATGTTGCCCGGCACTGTTGCTACTTGCTTCAGCTTCCTCAAGATTCCTAACAAATCATTGCATGGTGTGACCAGGCCACCTCTTGTCCGGGCTGATATGCATGAAACTGTTCGACTCTGCAGATTTCATTTTCTGCAGTAATACTTGAAGTTTTTCGTCGCAACGAACTTGTCTCCACGTGTAGACACGCTAATAAATTTCTACTTAAAAACTTTATAACTTGATATTAATATTTTCGTGACACTACTTGAGGTGTTAATTGATTTGTAACTTTGTAATTAGATTTAAAAAACTCATAAGCGTGTCGTGGTTTTATATGTGATAAAAAATCATGTTAATTTACATAAACTTTAGCTTTGATTTTCTCGGTTTAGACAAAGTTTATTTTAAAAATTACTTCGTCAATGAACTCGTATACCGAGATGAGTCGTTTTTTAAGCTATTTAAAGCACTTGTAGTCGTGTTTTATCACATATAAAACATTTCGCTACGCGCCGTGTTTTATATGTGATAAAACACGACTACAAGTGCTTTAAATAGTACATAAGCATTCTTTGCCATCTGCACATATTTAAAAAGTTCGTTAGAAGCTATATATAGATCAAACATAGGCTATTTTATCTGAAGAGTGCCACGCTATTTACATGCTACGAAACTGTATAGTAATAAATATGCCAAATAAAGCTTGCTAAGTTTTTGTGTCTTTCTATTATGCTCTGGTATTTCTTTGAGCACTCTAGCTATCACTAGTTTTTATAACTCATAAAAAGTGGGACATCAATTAAACCATTGCCAGAGTGCTCAATTGCAAGCAGTGAGCGTGCGTAAGCAGCAATGACTCATCCTGTAGAGTGCTCAATATGAAAATATATATAATGACAATAACACGCGCGTTATAATTTGACAATAACGTTGACAATAACACTCGCGCGAAGGAGTGAAACTAGAAACTTCCAAAATATATTGAGCTTTCTTGAGCGCAATCCGTCAAATAACGAGTTATTGAGGCAACATGACGAGTAGGAAAGAATACCACGCTAGCAGGGATGCTTCCAAAGTATATCAAAGTGTATCCATTTTATTGTTTTCCTCGATGGAGAGCGTGCCATTTCTGTCTGCGTTTCCCCGTTCACCCAACATAGCTGCTATTCACTCCCTTCACTGTGGATACTTCAGTGAAATCGCTTGTTGAAGCTAGCCCATCAATCGAGGTTTTAATGATTATAAAATTCTCTTTATTTACTATTTTAATACACTTAGTCTATTTTTAACTGTTAAATACATGTACATCATTATCATATGGCATTGCATAGCATGTGAAAATAATACAACAACAATATAAATGCATGATTTCTGATCTAAATAAAATTAGCATTTTTCCTCCCGGGATCACAGATGGGAACTAAGGGGACACCTCACATTATTATTTTGCAACCCTGCATGGTCGTCGCCTATAATCGCTATGTATAACAAGCCGATGATTTAGAATAGATAGGATCTTTTTGAAATAATTTGATCTCACTCTCCCAATGAGATGTATTGTAGAGATACTGACAGCTTGTCTGCTATAAGCAATTATTCACTTTAATATATTTCAGGCCAGACTAACCCAGAGAAGTAATTTCAGGGTGCATGGGAGTGTCTAAAAGCTAAATGCTAAAAGCTAAAAGCATTTTTGAATTAATTAATTGATGATTCTCGAGCTCCCTTATCTGGAAATTGGAAATATATTCGCTTTCATGAATGTTGCAGGTTTTTTCTCAATAAATGTATTTTGCTTAAGATATTTCGTTATCTTGATATCAGTGTAATAAAAGCAAACACGAACTTTGACCTTGTAGCTTTGCATGGTAGAAATAAATTTGATTGTTTAATTTGTTTTGGTTTGAGGACATGTTTATTAATTTTCTTGGGCTAACTGCGGCTTTGGTCGGTTAGATGGAAAACACGGAGTCGGAGTTCCGGAGTCGGAGCTCCGGAGTCGGAGTCCCGGAATCGGAGTCCCGGAGTCTGACGTCATAAAAATATGGAAAACACGGAGTCATATGGAAAACACGTAGTCTGACGTCAGAGAAAAATATGGAAAAAACGGAGTCATATGGAAAACACGGAGTCTGACGTCATAAAAATATGGAAAACACGGAGTCATATGGAAAACACGGAGACTGATGTCATAAAAATATGGAAAACACGGAGTAATATGGAAAACACGGAGTCTGACGTCAGAGAAAAATATAGAGAACACGGAGTCATATGGAAAACACGCGGAGTCCACCATAAAATAAGGAAAACACGGACGACGTCAGGGAAAAATTTGGAAAACACGGAGTCTGACGTATTGTCAGCGTGAAATATGGAAAATAGTAATTAAATAATATATAATTTATGCGAATATAAACAAACGAACGAATTAATATAACGAATTAGAAATTTTCTGCACTAGTTCTGGTTATTTCCCTAAAATGTCGTGAAAATATGGATTATTTATTTTTAAATACAATCAAGCAAATAATATTGTTTCTCTTGTCGTGTGACTTGTTCAGTTCTACAATATTTGAAGTGATTTTAATGCGGATTTTGTTCACCTCCTATGGTATGTTGATAAAAATCTAGTATATTTAGACGCAGGGGTATGGAGTGTACGGTGTTAATTATTAGCTATGTTAAAAGTATTTTTGGATTGGTAGACAATCACATAAATTATATCATTTGCTATGCACTTTGTTAAGGCACTGAAATTATCATTATAAATATTTTTAAATTTATTTAATTGGATGTACAAAAAGTATGTTTATCTAAGTATCATAAAGCCAGATTAACTTTTTTCCCCTATAAACTGTCTGAATAGAATCCCTACAACATCTAGTAGTTTGACCAAATCATTACATGGTGTAGCCAGACCTCCTTGACTGTGTGCCTTAAAGTATTCATTTTCCAAACCAGAACTGATCATATGTTCTAAAATTATTTGAAGCCGTCGTCATTTGCTTTGTTTTTGGACTTTTTCTTCAGATTTGACAACACATAGCATGCTATGTAGGACAGGGGACCGTGTTCATTCTCATTAAGTTCTGAAGAAATTCCAGCATGTCCACTGCATGTAGTAAGACCTTTTGAGAATGTCACTAAATGGTCTGGTATTGAAATCATTATTAGGTGCTGTTTATATGATCTCGGGTACTAGGATCACCCTACACCCGAGCTGTCCAAGGGGAAGCAAAATTATGTTCATTATATAGCATTTAATTTAATCGCAAGTGTTTATATGGAAAGTTTTCAACTCGTCTTGGC